TTACGGGGACCTACTACATCCAACAACGGAAGGCAAATATCTCCTCATAGAAGAACAGTCCTTCAAACACCAAATCCTCAACCCTGACACCTATAAACACTAAACCAAATAAACCGTAATTCCAACTCCCAAACGCTGACCAATCTCCCCTAAACCCTAAACCCTGAACCCTAAGACTGAACCCTAAACCCGGCCTCAGTAGGATTCGAAAGAAACCCCGAGCCAAAACCTCCGACATTCGGGATGTGCGCCGCGCGGGCGGCATCTAGAACCATGTAGACCTCTCGAGCTCCACTTGAGTAGGCTCACAGATGTAATAGCAGTAATACTAATTCATACTAATAACAGCGTTTATTGTTATGATTCTTACTCATATTATTCTTATCATTATTTCTATTCGAAGTAGTAGTAGCAGTAGCAGTAGTTAAGAGTAATCATAATAGTAGGCATGATATCAAGGTCTTGGGTTTGGGATTGCCCGCTACTTTTCCTAAAAGGCCTCCGTGGAGGTCCGTGTTCATTTGAGCTATAGTCTAAACTCCGCAAGGGGGGGGTTATGCGGGGGATTATATAGGGTACTACTATAGGTGTTATTAAGGGGGATACTAGGAATTCAGACTACAGTTCATCTGGGGAGAGAAATGTTTTCAAGTTCTACCAGCCAAAGGAAATGTCTATCTTGTTGCTTGTTTTGGGGTTTGCGGTTTCGGGATGTTACAGGTTGTGACATCCACTGCCGTTCCGTCTGTCTATCTCTCATGATGTCATGATGCTAACTTGTGTGAACCCAAATATCCTTGCAACTTGAACCCAGCACACCGCAAGCCCCCTCCCCCCCAATTTCAGAGCTTGATAAGAAGCAAGAATTCTGACATTTTCCGAACATCCCTATGAACTCCTAGATGCATCTTAAGCTGATCAGAGCCCAAAAAGCCTGGAAACTCTGCAGGCGTCAGACTTCAGCCCCCAACCCCCACAACCCTGTCCCTCGGGCCCCCTCCAACCCAAAACACGTCAACCTTACACCCGAAGCCCTTAGCCCCTGAAACCGAGATCTCGACAACCCTGTCTCTCGGGCCCCCTCCAACCCAAAACCCTTCAACCTTCAACCTGGAGCCCTTTGCCCCTGAAACCGAAAACTGACACTGAAATGCTCAAATGAGCCATAGTCTAAACTCCTAGTATCCCCCTTACTAAGCCCTATAGTGCCCGTTTAAGGAGTATCAACTATAGCTCAGCTATGCAGAGGTCACTCTGTTGTCCGCACTGTACCCTAAACCCTGAACCCCGACATATGAACATGGCGGACCCCAAAATATCAGAGAGCCCAAGCACCCAATAATTAGGTACTTGGGTTTCGGGCAATACTAATTCCAGTACAGGTTTTGGCTAGGTAAATGAGTATTAGGTACTTGGACCCTAAACCCTGAGCCCTAAACCCTACCGGTAGGAACGTCCGGGCACACGCCCGAAAACAGAAGCGAGCCTCCTGTAGGCCAGAGCCCAAGGCATTCAGACACGTGTCCTGCTTGAATGCTCATGCTTGGGGTTTAGGGTTGAATGCTCATGGGTACCAGGATGGGTTGTTAGACCCTAATATCCCCAATTCGGATCCAAAAAAGAGTGCATTAGAGGGCCCATAGGGTCTAAGAGCGCATCCTGCAAAGAGAGCTGGGGTGTGTATTGGGTTTAGCGCTCAGGATTTGGGAGTTGGGGCTTAGGGCTTAGGGCTTAGGATTTAGAGGCTATTGGGGGGGGGCTACTTGTGGTCAGAAGTCATTATGGTTATAGCGACTCAACCACACAAACCCAAATGACAACTCGCATTGAACCTTTAAGTTGCTTACCATCAGTTCAGCGGGTTTAAGATGTGCGTAGAAAGCAGAGTTTGATGTCCAGGGATCAGGGCCTGAAGATTACTTGGGAATGGAATTGCGACGGGGATTGGAGTTTTAGCTTGGAGGCGGTTTTGGCATGCAACGTCGGGTTCATACGCCCCCTTTAAGCCCGCGCTCACGGATGGATTTTGAGCATCCGGAGGTTGGGTTGGGATGATAGGTATCCTTTAATAAGGCTTGGCTAAGTAGGTGTGTTTTGAAGCACGAGTGTTATGTACAGCAGTGAAGATACAACCTGGTTATACATTGGGTGCCTCCTACCTAAGGGTTTGGCAAGCGAAGCCCTAGAGCCTTTTCGTGAATCCCAAACCCTAAACCCTGAATCCCAAACCCTAAACCCTAAACCTTAAACCCTGAATCCCTAAACCCTAAAGCCTACAAACCGCGCGCTTGGTTTAGTGCCTGGCACTTAGCGCCGCAGCTCATGAAACGTCGGCCCAGATGCTGAATCACCCAGATCAAAAAATAGGCTCTACACCCTGTTCATTGGATTTGGGGTTTAGGGTTTAGGGTTTGGGATTCAGGGTTTAGGGTTTAGGATTTAGGTTTAGGGTTTGGGATTCAGGATTTAGGGTCGCCAGTATATAACCCCATACTGATAAGGGTACCCTTTTTCCTAGTGTTCAGCTTTAATAGGGGGACCCCAAAATAGAAGGGTAAAAGGGTACTACTGGGGTACCTAGATTTTAGGGTTTAGGATGTTTTAGGGTTTACGGCCCGTTTGGGGCAGATTCTGGGCACCCGAAACGTGTGAAGTGTATGTGATAGAGCCGCCTACCAAATAATTGTCAATACAATTGTGCTGTCTATTTGAGGAACCCTGTACCATCAAAAAACTGGAGCCGTAAACCCTAAACCGTAAATCCCTATAAAGAAATAGAGGACCTCAGTTTCCATGTCACATTCCCTGTCTTGTCCTTTTGTTTTCCATTATAGAACATCACAACCGAAAGGAGAGTACCCTGAACCCTAGACCTTAAGCCCTAAGCCTTAAACCCTAAGCCCTGTAGCCTAAACCCTAAACCCCCAAACCCTAAGCCCTAAACACGCCGAGGGACTGTCCTAGCCCCTCTGTGAAATACTATACTGTGAGGCTAGACCTTAAACCCCATTTATCCCTACAAGATCCAATAACCAAGAATTCAGGCTTCTAGTCCCTCCCACCAAACATGAAAAACCCGAAAGCCCTAACATCAAATTGCCTCAAACTATTAGAGTATACCACAACTTGGAGATTTAATTAATGCTCGGGGGGTGGGCCGCTAGAATATCAGCGTTTAGAGGTTACTTACTGGTTCTTGGTAGGGAATATAGTCCCCACATAATGGATGTAGAATATATTCCCCTGTGCCCTACTAAGAAGCAGTAAGAATAAACTCTAAGCCCTTAACCCTGAACCCCTTGTATTCACCAAGAGTCCATGACGCAGAAGTCCAGGGCAAGGCCTCAGAGACTCTCGGGTAATGAGTGGAGGTTCAGGGTCTGAGGGTTTAGGGCTTTAGGTTTAGGGTTTGGGGTTCAGGGTTTAGGGCTTGCGTAAGGTTCAGGGCTTGGGGTTTTAGGGCTTAGGGTGTAAGTGTAGGATTTAGGGTTCACGTTGAAGTTTCATGAAGTTTCAGATTTGGATAGTAGAGTGGAAAGGATTCAGGTCTTGGGTGAGGATTTCAGTGGTCGGTTTGTTATGCAGGAGCAGCTGAGGGTCATGGCCTGATTGGGGCCTTCTCAACTTCACAAACCTCACGGTCTCCAACTCATGCGGGACCTGAACCCTGAACCCTAGTTTCTGAGAACTATGGCTTTCCCTGAGCAGTGTCCTCAATGTGAGAGATCATTTGGAGCTGCGTGGGAAGTTCTAGCACATACCATTGTTTCTCGGCTCGACTGGAATCTCGGGAACTGGCCATTTCACTTGTTTCCATGCACAATGAACGTGCTGCCCTGGTTCTCGTGGGAGAAACCCTGCGAGGCCCTCGAAACACAGGGGCACGATGGGTGAATGCAAGCGTCGGTGAGAGTCAGACCCTCACTCCGAATCTAGTACTGGCTGCCAAACATGACAGTTTGTGAGGTTGCAGGGTTTAGGGTTTATAGGCTTCAGGGTTCAGCTTCTGTGAAGCCATGAATGGCCTGTGGCGGCTAGGGCCTTAAGCTTTTTTGACGTTGCAATGTTCTTGGCAAGGCAAACGACCCCTGCAGCCTTCGCGCAAACCCCAGGGTTGAGGTTGAAACCCCGAAGCCCTACAGCAATTCCCCGAGCATGTGGGCACCCTAAACCCTGAATTGTAGTTCCATCTTATTTTCCGCTATCCCAATACAAACCCAATATAACCCTGATATTACCCCGATGGGTGGCAATTTTCGGTGGTTTTGGGGCTTCAGGGATCTACTGAAATTTCGATAGTTACTAGGGTACATATTTTCGCAAATCAGCTGGAGCAGGCTTCCTCGATTTGGTGGATTAGGGTTTAGGGTCTAGGGTTTCGGGTTTAGGGTATAGGGTTTAGGGTTTAGGGTACCCTCCCTGACTGCTTCTGTAAGAACCTGCTCACGGACTCTTTTGCGAGATGCGCGTGCTCCAAGTCAGGACACCCATGTGAAGGCCAGGCCTGTCCCTGAAGAGCTCTACACTCTATCATGTGAGCACAATCTGCCAACCTTAACTCCATAGCCCTAAGCCCCTAAAACCCCCGAACTGAAATCCCCCAAACCCTAAACCCTAAACCGAAACCCCTATAAATCCCTAAACCCTAAACCCAACACCCCAAAATCCCTAAACCCAAGACTCATCACCATCTTCACCATGGCAGGCATGATGAAGTCTGCTCAGTGGATGTGATCAGGTTGTGTGTCCTCGTTTATCATGTTCCTAAGGTACCGCGAAGTTGCTTCCCAAAAGGCTCCAATTGACCCAATGTAGGTAAGATCTACAGACTTTGGGCCCAATGTAGGTATATACAAACCTTAAACCCTAAATCATAGACCCTGAAACCCTAAAGCCCTAAAACCCTAAGCCCTAAACCCTAAACCGCACAGTATTTACAGACTTCGGGCCTTGGGAGTTCTAGAAACATCCTAACGGCAGCGTTGGGCGGCTTGACTCCTTCAATCATGCCCTGTGTGGCTCTGCTGAGCCGCGGATCCTTTTCCTCCACTGCCATGAACCGGTGTAGGGTTTAGGGTTTAGGATTTAGGGTTTAGGGGTTTAGGGTTTAGGGTGTAGGGTTTAGGATTTAAGGCTTAGGGTGCGCGTGTTCTTTCTTATATGCATACATGGTCACGCCCAGGGGACACATGCTACGGTGGCTATCTCCTATTAGGCTATGACTTATCACATTAAATTATGACCCCACCCCGGGCGCCCTCGCCCTCCTGGGTCCTGTGGCCTGTGCCTGCGGTCTGGGTAATGTGGGTTAAATGAAAGTTTATATGGGGTTTATAGTGTTTGTAGAGGGGTTTATAACCTATCAATTGCCCCACCCCACCCATGGTCCTGCGGCCGGCGGTCTGGGTCTTGTTGTTAACATTAGGTTCATGGAAAGTTTAGCGTTCATGGAGGGTTTGCAGAGGGTTTGCAGAGGGTGCGTGGTCTTATGGAAGCCTGAAATAAGATAAGGATCACCCCATCCCTATGACTGTGAGCACTCTTAAACCTGTAATGCGACAGCAACATGGAACTTTACAAGCGGCGACAGTTGCAAGTATCGCCATGAGGACCAACCCGACCCTATGACCGTTGGTACAAAATTGTGAAGACCCTAAACCCTAAACCCGGTTGGTACAAAATTGTGAAAGAGAAGAGAGCATGAGGGGCCCAAAGTGACAACAGTTATGATGATGAAGGCTTAGTTGCCACTTTTGAAGCATATTTGGGGGGTGGGGAGGAGGATACCATTCAAACTGGAGACGGGCACGTGCAGCAGGACCATATGTGCCCACAAATGTAGGGGTTCTGAACCCCAGCCGGCTGTAGGGTTTAGGGTTTGGGGCTTAGGGTGTAGGCGATGGGTCTGAAGATTAGGGTTTAGGGTTTAGGGTGCAAGGCTTAACGCCCTTAACAACGTGTCTTATTTTTCACGCTCACTCAAGAAGTAGGAAGGGCCGAACAACCACAAACTTCCAAGAATACTACTCCACCTAAACCTGACCCGCAAACCCTACACCCCAAAGCCTAAACCCAAACCCAAACCCTACAGTAAACCCTAAACCCCAGACCCTAAGCTCTAAAACCTACTGCGGGTAAGCTTCCCTTGCTCTTGCTATATCCTGCCAGAGCAGATCGTTGACTTGGTGACCTGAGCCTCATCTCGATATCCTTCCAGTTCTTCTGAAGCATAGCCTAGGATCCCCTTTAACTTAAAGACAAAAAAGAGCCTTACCTGAACCCCCAGAGTATGTAAACTAATGGCCTTTATGGCTATTAGTATGGGTTTAGGGCTATTATTGTACATACTTTTGGGGTCTAAGTATCTAGTAGCATAGACTAATTTAGTTAACCAAGAACTTGGGATCCCGAAAGAGGAAGGGTTTAGGGTTTAGCGTTTAGGGTGTAGGGTTTTAGTGTACTAGGGAACCCAGTAGCAAGGTTTTCCCATCGCGTGTTTGTGGCTGCGGGACCCTCGCCTGTGGTGATCTCCGGGACAATGAGCCCTGAGATCCCATTCCCCTGTCTCTCGATCCTTGCCCATGTCCTAGGCTTTAGGGGTTTAGGTTGTTCAGGAAGTTAAGTTACTATAATCAGGAAGCCTTTGTTTTACTATATACCTGTATTATGGTAATCTGAATTTAAGTTCTTTAACAGAAACCCAGCGTCCCCCAGTCGTGTTCCACCAGAGTCGCTTTGGGGTCTGTGTGCAACCTTCGGAAATCTTCCTCCTTGCAACCTGACTTGGATATAGCATGAGGTGGGACTTGGAAACGATAGCGCTGCGCTTGTGTTGCCTGAAAGAACTCCGTTGTCGCTCTTGCTACCACATAAGGTTGAACTGGGTAGCGGGCGCTTTTACCCTCAAGGAACGGTATGATAATGGGTTCGAAATCAGGACTTCGAACCACATTGAATGCAAATCCAGGGCCAAGAACCTCTTCATTCCATTCTCTCTCCGCGGTTCCCAGCAGGGATTGGTCATGAACTCGGCACACATCACCCCCCGGAAAAGCCCACTGACCTCCCTCATTTTCGGAATCCCATACGTGCCAAACAAAATCGCTTTGCTCTCCAAGGAACAGCATCACCACGATCGCGCATCTTGCAATAAAGCTCCTTCCCTGAACATCGAGCGCCCATTGAGGTTCGCGCGACAAAATGAAATCGTAGTAAGGTGACAGAATCTCCAGCATGTCGGGCACCTTCAATTTGGCGCTGACTAGCTTCTTCCTTAGCCCAGAGGTAAGCTCAGGATAAGGAAAAACTGTAGCTGTTCCTTTGCAGAGAAAACGGAGGCGTTCCACCCGTCGAATCACCTGACACTGCAGCTGAGTGGGATGCTCAATCACGAGCAATAGAGGGCATTTGCCCCGCGAGACGAAGAAACACATACTGCGGATAGCCTCATCAGTACACTTGTCGACATGAGATTCCACCCTGTCTAAGATTAAATCTTCAGCGTCACTCGCCCCAAGTCGAAGCAGGTCCTGCCAACTGCCGCCCAGCACATCTTGCAAAAAATAGCGGACCTCCTCCAGGTAGATTGCAAGATTGGGACACTCAGCTGCCATCATCGCAACTTGAGACACTTGAGTAAACAAGAGGGGCCTCCAGCATTGCAAGAACGGTCTAGGAAAAGGCCACCAGGTGGCTAAACTTAAAGTGAGGACTGGGTGGCCATAGGGACTGCTAGAGGAAACTTTGGGGGGGGATTGTATAGGGAGACCAAAACCCCAAACCTTAAACCCTAGACCGTAATCTTAACCTTAAGCCCTAAACCCTAGAGCGTTATGAGAATCCATTCTCCCCACTCCCGCTGTAAGAACTATGCAGGCAGGCAGGGCCAGGCATGTGTCAGACTTGGATGGGATGCTCAATAGGTACTTTTCCTGTACATCTATTAAAAGATCTAATGTTGAGGGTTTAGGGTTACACTTCACAGGAGCCCAATTTCGCCTGTTACAAGCTGGGCGGCTTTCACAAGTCTCCAAGAGTTGTGACCCCAAACCCTTCGTAAAGGTTCATGCATAATGTAAATAGCTGATGAATATATCCATCCCCTTGCTAGGGATGATAATCGGGATCCTAATATGAAGACCCTGAAAAGGAGGAGGTTTATTAATCATGGGTCTACATTAGCTATAAGTCTGCCCATAAGAGTTATATGGGGCGATGTAGGGATTGCATAGACAGCGTAGGGACATGATAGGGTCTGGGGCTCATGTAGGGTTCACGGATGGTTCTGAGTCAGCCGGGAGGAGTATACTTATGACATCAGATTTATTCGAATTGAAGCCGATTCGATCCAATTTCACCTAGATTCTGGGATTGCATCCGCACTTGATTTAGACTTACTCATGAGCCTTCAAGTCAACAATACGTCCACAGAGTCTCAAACTACAGTGAATCTAGCAACCCAGCGACAGCAGCATTCCTTTTTGGTGCTTATTTTGGTGTCAAGGAATCGTGGGGAAGCGGATCCACATGATAACTCTCATATATTCCTCGATGATTATGCGTAATCCCTAAAATTTACTGTCGAGACCCAACACTTCTACAGACTGAACCTCAAGAGCCTTTGGGCACTAAACCCTGGCGCCCTGATTAAAGGGAGTAGAATGGGAACGCCAATCAGGGAATCCCAAGAAAATAGTAGGAATATCACAGAAATATAAGGACCCGGGGAGCTATTTTTTCTACTATACTATTTGGATTCTCTGTTTTGGGGTTCCCATTGAAGTCCCTTTACTGATGCAATGGATGCCCGGGACCGCGGCCACAAACAAAGACTCGCTTCCTTGCATGCTCAGGTCTCTACTTGGAGGGTTCGGGGGACTGAGTAAGTAGGTTAATAATGGGGATAATTAGGGTTACTATATGGGTTATATGGCTTATTAAGCTACTTACTAAGTCCCCCGGACCCTCCAAGTATGGAGGCATCTTTTCCAATTTAAGATGCTTCCCCAACGTGCGAAATCCTTGTAGCCTTGGCTTTCCCCTCCCCTAATGAAGAAACCCCCACTACCCATAATAACAATTTTCCCGCTGAGCAAACACAATGGTACCATATTGGGGGGGGGATCTAATTTCAGGGGGGTCAGGGTAGGTTCATCATCAGAGGGAGGGGGTTATAGCGTGCATTCCAACATGGACCACCCTAAACCCTAAACCCTAAACCCTAAACCCTTACTCTTTTGCAGCCCCCCGGTATATTCCAGTGGTTGCAGGGCCTGCAGAGTAACATGCCTGGATCATTTCGGGCGTATGAAGTCGCAGATGAGGAGACGCTTCTCAGCTTAGGGTTTAGGGTTTAGGGTTTAGGGTTTAGGGTCCCCTGAATGGTACAGCATCTTCCATTCTGCGTTCCCTATTGACAGCCAGCCAACAAGTCCATCTGATGTCCTGATGTCGTAGGGACGCAGTATGGCATTGCTGCATGGATTGCGTTGGAAGCCAATACCCCTCAATTAAATATGCATATTACCGATTCTAGAGTCCTCAACTCATGCAGGAGATTTGGCAAATATTCAAATTATGGTCCCCTTTTGGATCCCTGATACAATACCCTATTTAAGATCTTGGAGTCAAAAATAAGGACCTGGTATCCTTCCATAATCCCTATACATCCCCGAGGTGCCTAAGGGGGGGGGGCGGGGTGCCATTTCAGGGAAACCTTCAGTGTCTAGATTTGCGCGATGTCGTGTCAATGGCAAAGCTCCTGCACTTTAAACCCTACACTCTAAACCCTGAACCCTAGACCCTGAACCCTAGACCTCACATCCTGAACCCTAGACCCTAAACCCGAAACCCTAAACCCCAGACCCCAAGTCCTGAACCCTAGACCCTAAACCCTGTACCCTAAATCCCTACCCTTTCAGAGTTTGCAACCTACCATACCTAGCCATCGAAACCCGCTTACCCACGAAGCAGACTCCGAGGTTATCGGTAGTAGCAGAACATGTCTAGCGGATTGGCTACAGTAACGCCCTATAGAAGTCCACTAAGTATCCCTTATATAGCCCCTTTCAAGAAGTTTAGATTATGGCTCACATGTATGACAAAGTGCGGAACTTCATGCCCCTTCCGAAGCAGAATGGGGAACCTGGACAGGCTCCACCCTGCTCAGAAGTCCAACAAAACATCGGCTTCAGAGTACAGGAAGGGTACACATATAGGTTTGCAAGATATGGTACTCTCCCTAAATAAGGGACCCCAATATAGACCCCAAAGTACTCTAGTCCTTATTAGAGGGACCCCCATAATGGCACCCCTAGTTTTGGGAAACCCCCATATCTTAAGTTTAGGGTTTTAGGTTTGCCCACAATCTCAATTGAAGCCAGAGCTCTTGTCTTTCACGACGTCATAAAGCGTCCTGGCATCGTGGAGGTCAACTGACTGCTATGCTGTGCTTGGCTAAGACATTGCAAGTAAGCTTAGGGTCTGGGATCTAGAGGTCAATACCCTAAACCCTAAACTCTAAACCCCAAACCCCAAATTCTTGTTCTGGCTAGGTGTATTATTTCAACATTTCACTGTAATCCATGTCCATCTTCTGGGTTGTTGTTAAGGAACTTAAATGAAGTAACTATGGTAGGTAAACCCTCCGCGGGCCGCGGGCCGTCGGACGTGGAGGCGCGCGGCCGCGCGAAAGTTCTTCTATCATCAAACCCGAGTCTTTACTGTATGCCGATAACATGGCACCTTCATTAAGTTCTTTAGCAGCAACCAACCTTTTTAAAGAGACTGGAAGATATAAATTGGTTCCACCTTCGGTCTGCCTGCCTTACTAAAAGAGCTTTCAGCTTCAGAAGCCTGGCTCTGTTGCTTAGGGTGCAGGATTTCAGAAGTCACTGCATGCAGAAAGCTACGAAACTCAGGCAGCAGGATTGCAGGGTGAACGCTCGCGGTTTAGGGTTTAGGGTATCCATCTTATTCGGGTGATGGGTGTGAAACTGTGCCGAACCCTCATAAGAGGGCTTCTCAAAATGGGGCCGCGTCCTCAGGCACTCTAAGGATATGCGGGGGGAGGGGGGGGGGTAAGGATCATGGAGTTCTCAATTCAGGATTCTTTATGGGAACTGCTCAAACTTATCAACTTGACGCCTCACACCTGAGAAGTAGCTCCAGCGCTCCCAACAGTCAGAGCACTGCCCCACTCACCCACACGGTTCAGGGTTTAGGGCTTGCCCACTCTCAACACTTTCAATCCTAGTTACCTCCCCTTTGTAACGAACCTGCCCACCCACCCCAACCCGAAATAATGAGTCATTCGCAATTTAATAGCAAGACATCTACTGCGCAAGATGTAATTTAAGGGGATGCAGAGTATTATTGGTGCTTACAGGCAAGAACAAACCCACCCTTCATGACCCCTATATAACCTAAGTTCCTATATCACTTCCAGTTTATTTTCCATCTGGTTCTGCGCTTATGGGACACTGCCCCTAAACCTTAACCCCTGAACCCTGAGCCCTAATGCCCCAAATCCTAAGTCACCCTGACCCTAAACCTAAAGCCTCAACCCTAATCCCTAAACCCTGAACCCTATGAACTCGAACCCTCATCGACCCAGGCCTCATTTTGCGGTCCACGCCGTCTTCCAGCACTGACAGCACGTCTGGCGGCGCGTTGATGTTCACATCCGCGTCCACGACGAGGTCAGACCTGGGTTCAAAGCTTATAGGGTTCAGGGCTTAGGCTTTTAGGTTTACAGTTTAGAGTTTAAGGCTTAGGATTTAGGATCTAGGGTTTGGGGTTTAAGGTTAAGGCTTAGGGTTTAGGGTCTTGGCTTTAAGCAGCTTCTTTATGAATTAGATGCAGGGACAGTATGAAAACACGTCTCCCCTGACCAAAGAACCCTACACTCTAAATCCTACTTGTAACCAAGCCTGCCAGTGTTTAAGACACGGTCCGCAAAGCTACACCCTGCACCCTAAACGCAAGGCCCAACACCCCAACACCCCAAACCCTAACCCCAAACCCTAAACGAACCCAAAACCCGGAACCTTAAACTCAAAACCCCAAACCCTAAACCCCAACCACAAACCCTAAACCCTATTAGGCTAAACTCGAAACCCTAGACCCTATAATCCCCAAACTCGAAGCCCTAAACCCCAAACCCGAAACCCTAAACGCAAAACCCCACACCCATTGTGTTGTCCGTTGGGAAGACTGCAACGGTTTGGAGTACTTGAGTCGCGTTTTTTGGGTTGAATATAGCGGGTCCAACATCATACAGCAATTCCTATGCCCAAAAAGGCTAAGGATTAGGGTTTAGGGTTTGGGGGGGGATGATTTTTAGGATGTCGCGGGGCTTATTGTAAATATACCAAATGCCAGGAAAAACATGATTTCTGGATCCACCGTAAGCCCTATAAACCCTAAACCCTGAACTCCGTCCTAAGAATCTCTTGCCGGGCCACTGCTTCAGAATCACAGAGCCGGTAAACGGCGCCTTGGTGCATCCCAGCGTCTTCCCCAAGGCGTGATCACAACCTGATGTGAGGTTTAGGGCTTATAGGGTTTAGGATTCAGGGTTTAGGGCTTTGATGTGGAGAGTTCTCAAAATTAGGGC